GGCGCCGCCCCGCGCTGAGGCGCCAGCCCGCCTTTGGAGCTCTCTGGCGTAATTTCGTTACGTGGTTTTGTTCTCGGGTAGCGAGGTGGGATTAAAACTGTTCCCAAACGCAGGCAAGGCACCCGTTTATACGAATGTTTTAGATCGTTTGTAATTACGCCTTAATCGTGACCGTTTATTCCCTGGTTTTCAACTGTCAACAACGTGAGGACCTTCATTCGCTTCCCTTGGCAACTCTTTGGAACCAGAGATCCTATCCAGAGCCTTTTGGAAACCCCAAGTAGATGACGTAAAATCCAGGCAAACGACATCATCCGGGTAACACCACCTTTGTGCTCAGCGGCACCTGAAAAACCTGAATAAATGAGCAAAATGTTCTGCCTGGGGAAAAAAAAAAAAATCTTGAATCTCGTTTGTCTAGTCTAGTTCTACTCTTTGCTGTAGTCCGTATAGCCTGCCCAACTGAGAGACATTTGACTGATTTCTCTGTTGTTCCAGAGAGTCATCTCTTACACTTGGTTAAGAGCTGCTGGTCTGAGCTCCTGATGTGAAGCTTTAAGCAACAGGTTACAGATCACAGTAAACACTTGCTTCTCGTGTAATGTTTTGTCCCCAGAAATTTGTTCTGAATGATTTGGTTGATGTATTGCTAAGTTCTACAGAGACATGCTCCATTAAAAATGTATCAAGCATGAAAATATCCATAATAAAAACCCAAATATCCATATCCCAGTCAGTCCTAATGTTAACATAAATTTAGGTTTTATGTGGTATTTCATGACTATTGCAGAAGTGTGAAATTTTGATGGGATGCAAACAAGTAGGAATCACTGCAGAGAAGCCCGTTAAAGGCAGATGACAACTCTCTGCAATTCAGTAAGACACTGATCAGCCTTCAGCCATCGATGCCAAAATTAGCTACAAAGGGAGATGCCAGTTAAAGAGGATAGTTAGTTGAAAACAAAAACCAGGGTAGACAAACATCCATCATTACACAGGAACAATTTCTATTAAGAACATCCTTTTCTGAGCAGAGACCTGCAACAATTTTCTTCTTTATTTAATGCACTAAAGTGTCCATTTGTCTTCTGGGTCTGTGTCCTGGTTCAGCTGGGATAGGGTTAAGAGAGAGAGGGGGAAGGGATCTCCAGCCGTGTTATTCATACCATGCTGGCGTCAGGTCCAGGGGCGGGAAACTTTTAATTTAACTTTCTCTTTGGCTTTTTGGTGGTGGGACCCACACGTCGGCTTTGATTCCTGACCATTTGTGGTATTTCTCTGTGTATCGTTTGTCTTGTTCACTGTTAATGCTGTTTATTGTTATCATTGCTACTGTTGTTGCTCAGATTGTTTATCACACTGTTGTATTAAATTTCTTCTTATTTTAACCCGGGTTTGTGCCTCACTGCCAGCCCAACCGGCTGAGGGTGGGGGAGGGACAACATGCTCTCCAGTCCCTGCAGGGCATAAACCAACACAGTCTGTTGGTTTTGGTTTGTTGTTTGGTTTTTGGTTTGGTTTGGTTTTGTTTTTTTTTTCCTCAGAGTCAAACAAATTGCCTTCCAGTTTGATAGATTCCACATTGTATTGGATCTTCAAAGAGCACTGGTGGTTTAACCCGTTTAGATAGAGGTCCACTGAATGCTAGTTGTACAAAGCTGGCAGTGACCAAAAGCCCTGTGGCCAGATGATGTCATGCAGTGGTTGACACTGTGTTTGCAAAAGGGTTAGAAGAATTTAAGTATCAGCTCTTCTTTTTTTTTTTTTTTTTTTTTTTTCCCAGTAAGCGTGCGCCCCTGAAGAGTCAGATAACGCACAGTCACAGGGTCAGGTTTGATCCTGATTACTCTGTGTTGTTAGATTACTTGGATGGGTGGGAATAGACCTTCATATTTGTCAGCACAAAATGATAGCCTTAGTGTACTCTGAAGATGGCAGAGGTACTGTAATTAGGAAATGTTGATGAGGGGTATATGAATCTGAGATGAAAATGGGATCCCCTGAGCAGCTATATGGAAAATAAAAGGTTAAGCAATATATGCTTAGGCACATGAAATGCTGGGGTTTAAACCCCAAGCCCCAAATTAAGGTTGACATATGGGTGATTCCCACAGCCCTTCCCAAAGGGGGGGTGAGTTTGCCTTTAGGCTTCCCTCCAGTGTCCAGCCGGCCTGGCAGACAGAGCCATTGGGTAAATGAGCCCCAGGTGTCCCCCATTCAGTAACCAAAGGTCAGGTGTCCCACTTAGGGGTAAAAGCTGGGACCACTTGCAGGCAGGGGCAGTGTCTGTCTGTGAGGTGGATGCACTGTGCAGATTTCCCTGTAGGGGAAGGACCTCCTGCCTTCCTGGAACTAGGCTCTGGTCAGGTCTGGCTTTTGTAAATGTGGGCTGTGTAGAGATTCAGTGTGTGGCTTCCTTGGTCTTATGTATTTGGCTTGTTGACTTGGTTGTCTCCTGTCCCTTCTATGGGAGACTGCATTTCACCATTTATTTCGCCCATTGTTGGTTGTGTGGTGGTGTTGTTGGGGTCAGTGGGATTGATGTCCATTATGTATAATCTGACTTGTTTGTACCCCTAGTGCTCACCCATGTATTGACCCTTTTGTATCAAATACAATTTGGTTATTGGTTCATCTTTATGCTGGCTCTCCCCTTTATGCTAGGCCTAATAATTGGCAAAACAGCACGCCAACAGGATACATATATTAAAGATGAATCAGGAATAATCAAATATCTAACAATTGTCTGAGCTGCTATTTTTTAACAAAACCTGCACCTTTAATTGTGTGTTTTCAATGAATGCAGCATCTATTCACATAGAGTATAGGAGCTAACTGGCCGTGTTGATAAAAGTGATTTCTAACAATGTTGATCACTGTTAGGCTTCAGAATTCACTGTCAAAAAGGGGTATTCCATACTTAACATTTATTTTATCATGTGATTGTTACAGACCAACAGTGACTTTGTCCCCATTTGCAAATTTAATCTTTTCAATTGGAAAGTCTAGAAAAAAAATTTCCCACCAAAATGGAAGGCTCAGTGTCTACGGTGAATAAACATCAAAATCCATTGAAAGAATAGGAAATCTGAAAACGCCCACACTTCCTTTAGGCTTTCAACAGTTGCATACAGCATCTTGTTGCTAAACATTTAATTTCACAGTCTATCCAGTACACATTTTGAAAGCTGGGAAATGTCTCCTGTTCCTAGACTTTTTATTTGTTGATAGTTTAAAGAGATGGAGAAAAAAAGAAAAAGTGATCACAGCATATAGTAATGGATCACATTTGGCTAAAATATCTTAACTAAATATTTTTAAACAAAAAATTTCACAACATTGGAACCAGTAGGTTGTAACATTTCCTAAAGCATTTACAGTTACCTCTTTAGTACTGATCTATGGTACTACTACAGTCAGTTACTTTAGCATATTGCATTAAAGAGAGTGACTGCATCCAATAGTTCATGAATGTGTAGTTCCATGGACAGTGCTTTTAATGAAATATGTTTGCAGACTGAACATGACTGAATTGTTTGTCTGCAGCCTGAACATGACCGAGTAGATTTTAAAAAGTATGCTTAAGATTAGGCCCTGATGAGAGTAAGGTGCATCATAATGATAAACATTACCAAAATCTTGTGATTCCTGTATCCCAGGTTATGTGACTATTGTCTCCAGTTGTTTTGGCAAGTAGAGTTGGTGCTGACCTAAGTCAGTTTTGATTCCGCACTCAGTTCCCTAGGAAGACATTTTATATTGTATGCTGAGTTCTGGTCTAAGTAGACCCCAAGTGCTTCCACTTCATAAAGCCCAAGGCAGGCCTAACAACAAAGGTTTAAGGTCAAGTGCTGCTACTACCTGCTGTTCGCTCTTTTTTTCTAAGAACTTCCATTCTAGCTTAGAAAAAGATGCCAGAAGAATTGTATCAGC